GCGGACATGGACAGGCTAACTATGGAATTAAAGGACAAGACGGAAACAGATTATTTTGGAATCTGGGACAAATTTTACTGTTGGTATGAGTCAAGAAGAACTGGTCGGGTTTTGAGTTAAAGTTTAAATTTGTGGTATATAAAATTATGTGTTAATACGTAGAGAGATGTATATTTAGAACTTTAAATATGATAAGGAATGAATTACTAGGATCATGTATACTGGAACGTCATGTCATGTCCCTTTTTGTTTTAATTGTTTTGTCAATAAAATTTTTAAAAATAAAAAATAAAATAAAAATAAAAATAAAAAAATGATCGTGCCCTGCTAATTTCACCATTTCCATTTTTTTTCCAGGCAACATCACTGTGGAAACAATGATTGACTTATTACGTAACAAGGCTGAGGGCATCTCTGTGGATTCACACTCTTTTCTTACTACAGCAAGCATGGTGTCCGTCTTACCTCAGAATCTGACTTCTCCATGCATTCATTTTTTCACTGGCACACCGGATCCATCCAAGTATGTTAGATGTACCAGCATTCTTTTAAGAGTCTCAAGAATTAATTACTAATTTTACATATTGGATGGGTAAAATATGCATTATTCTTTGAATCAAAGAATATTCTTTATAAAGAAATATTCAAAGTTTTGGCTTTTTAAAAAAAAAATCACTGAACTTATTTTTGCAGCTGCTGCCTTAAATCTAGATGAGTAAAAATAGCTTTATAAGGGAAAAAGAAGATAGGTTAGTTCAGTGTTGCTCAGTCCTGGCAACTTTATGATGTGTGGACTTCAACTTCCATAATTCTCCAGCCAGCATGCTGCCTGGGGAATTCTGGGAGTTGAAGTCTATACATCTTTAAATTGCCAAGTTTGTGATATACTGTGTTAGCTGATTTGATCTACCGTATGTCAATTTAAATGCCTCAGTTGTATTAGCCTACTGCCCTGTAGATTGCCTGCCTTGGATTCTGGGATATCAAGACTACTTCGCTCTTCATAATTTTCTACAATTTGCTCTCTTAGTTTAAGTTTACAGTTGCTTTCTTTTTAAAGGACATTATTTATGTTGGGCTTATATATCTAAGATGTATGTAGATCAGTTAATTAAATTTTTTTACCAGAGTTCTTTGTTTACCTTGTAAAATCATTGCATTGGAACTTCATTTTTAAAGTTTATGGGGTTGTTTTGGAAATATACACACGTCCATTAAATTATGCTGCACTTTTATTCCAAAGCTTAAAGAAGCTTCAGAGCAGGGCACTATCAGAACCTCCTTAACTGAAGTACAGGTAATCCTCAACTTATGCCCACAAGTGAGCCAAATATTTCTGTTGTTAAGTGAGACATATGTTAAATGAGTTTTGCCCCATTTTATGATCTTTCTTGCCTCAATTGTTAAGTGAATCACTGCAGTTGATAAGTTAGTAACCCGGTTGTTAAGTGAATCTGGCTTCTCCATTGACTTTGCTTGTCAGAAGGTCGCAAAAGCTGATCAACAGTCCTAAATATGAATCAGTTGCCACACATCTAAATTTTAATCACAGGATCATGGGGATGCTGCAAAAGTCGTAACTGTGAAAAACAGTCATGTCACTTTTTTCAGTGCCATTGTAACTTTGAATGGTCACTAAATGAACTGTTGTAAGTTAAGGACTACCTGTATGCATCCTTCTGGGATTCAGCAGTGACTATGTTAAGCTGAAAAAAAGACCTCATTCTTTAAAAAGGTCTAAACCTTTTAAAATAGATGGTGTAAATAGTTGTCCTGTGCCAAAGCACTTATGGCTTTGGATATTCTGCTATTTATAATGAAATATATAAAACTACAGTTGTTTTATGAATGTTTAAAACTAATGAAACAGGTTGGAGGGAATAAGCTTTAACTGACATAACTTTTTCAGTATATTGGAGCTGTATTAATATTGTTTTCTTTTGGTAACAACTCTTTTTGTTTAGGTGTAATTTAGCTATGTCGGCATTTCCTGTATCTTTATCTTTTTTTTTCTGTGAATACAACTATTTGGATTATTCTTGTTATTTTCAAGGCAAGAGTGTATAGCTGCTGCACTAATTGAAGTTGATGATAACCCCAATAATGCCCTAAACTATTTGGAAAAAGGAAATGGGGGAATAAGCAGAATTAAATTGTGCTTTCTGGAAGAAAGTTGTCTGCCAAGGGTAAATAGGTGAACATTTATATAAAGGTACAATGCAACAGGGTGGAGTGATGGCTTAGCATTTAAAGACGGTGTGCTTGTCAGCTGAAAAGTCGACAGCCTGGGTTTAAGATCCAAGCAGTGCGTGAGTGGGATGAGCTCCCATTGCTCGCCCCAGCATAAAGTGGCTGTTAATTTGACCAGAACGGTGTGATAAAGCAGCCCAATTAGAAGATTGATCAGTGGCAGTAAAAATGCCCTAACATGATTATTTGAGTTTTAATATAATTATTAGCAAAAGTAAATACAGTTTGTTGAAAGTGTTGCATATATTTACTCTATTCTTTAATGTAATCAGTATGTTCAGATTTATTTTGGGCAGGTTGTTTTTGTTTGCCGGAAAATAAACTGCTAGGTGACAATGTAATCTGTAACTATAATTACTTAGTTGGTCATTCATGTAACCTTTTTTTAGGTCCATATTTAAACCTTTTATCTTTGTGGATGGTGTGAAAATAGTACCTAAAGTTCAATCACCCATTTTTGGTAGTGAAGATCCTGTGAAAAAAATTCCTCGGTTTCAGGAGAAACCTGATCGCAGACACGAACTGTACAAGGCGCAACAGCAGGCCCGATTAGTCTTAGACAGTGATGAGGTAAGGCTTCCAATAGGATTTTAGAATATTGTTACTAAACTGATAGACTGAATTGTTCAGTACTCCAGGTTTACATTTTAAAAGCAGTTCTCTTATACTTGTAGAAAATATATTAAGGTTGTGCTCCCTTTATTGCTAATTGCTCTTTTGCATATTTATAGGATAGCTTAATTTTATATTATATATGTTGATGTTTTTGTAATCAAAAAGAGACATACGGTGTAATGGGAGAAAAGTAACACATAGTTAAAACCTGAATATTATCTGCTATAATTACTGTATCTTTATACAGTTAGGTGAATTACTTAACATTATCTTCAACTGCTTTTTTCCAGCATGCATATCCAATATACTGTAGCACTGCAAATAGTCCTCACTTAATATCTACTTGTTTAGTGATAGTACAATAGTGCTGAACAAGGATATTTACAATAGGTTCTCGTAGTGGCAGCTGTTGCAGCATCCCCACAGTCACATGATCACAATTCGAATGCTTGGCAATTGGCTCACTGTTACAATGGTGCAGTATCTTGCAAGCACGTGATCAATATTTGCAACTTTCATTGCCAACTTCTGACAAGCAAAGCCAACAAGGAAGTGGGCATTTCTGTGCTCATGGGATGCTGAGACTACATGTTACTTACTTAATGATGGCAAGTGAGGCTGCTGAAACTGCTATTGTAAGTTGGCACAGTGATGTGGCATTATGTCTTACAGATACCCCAGTCCCAATTACCATCAGTAAGCAAATCTTTTTTTATGTCTCTATTTATATTTAAAATACTTACAGTAGTATCTTCAGCTACTTTTTTTCAAATGAACATGTGCACTATAGCCCATGAGCAGTTATAGAAACTGAATGAGTGAATGAATAGCAGTTTTGTCAAAAAAGTTAATACTATAATTGTTCTCCCGAAGATGCCATTACATTTTTCCTTTTATAATTTGAAGTATTGTCAATTAAAGGACAATTCATGCTAACGGTAAGAGGAATTTGGAAGTTTTTCAAAGCAAGATGCTTGCTTTTTTCTATCCTAATTGTAGTGAAAAAATTTAGAGAAATAACCGGGGAAAAATTTCTAGGGGAACTCCCATCATGGGAAAGTGTTTTTATATTCAATTAAATATGAGCCAGCAGGGTGCAACAGCAGCCAAAAAAGCTAATACAATCCTTGGCTGTATAAACACATAGAATCAAAATCATGTTAGATATTAGTACTGCTTTATAAATCCTTAGTAAGACCACAGCTGGAATACTGCATCCAGTTTTGGTCACCACATTACAAAAAAGATGTTGAGATTTTACAAAAGTTCAGAGAAGAGCGACTAAGATAATTAAAGGCCTGGAGCTTAAAATAAGAACAGTTGCAGGAATTGAGTATGGATAGTCTAGAAAAGAAGAAATAGGGATGACATGATAGCAGTATTCCAATATTTGAGGGGTTGCCACAAAGATGATGGGGTCAACTTATTCTCCAAAGCACCAGAAGGCAAGACAGGAAACAATGGATGGAAACTAATCAAGGAGAGAAGCAACTTGGAATTAAGGAGAAACTTCTTAATAGTGAGAACAATTAATCAGTGGAACAGCTTGCCTTCAGACGTTGTGGGTGCTTCATCACTGGAGGTTCTTAAGAAAATACTGGACAGCCACTTGTCTGAAATGGTATAGGGCCTCCTGCTACAGCAGGGGGTTGGACTAGAAGACCTCCAAGATCCCTTCCAGCTCTATTCTGATTGAAGTATATTTCTTGCTGTATATTCCAATCTTCTCCAACTTGTCATCTTCCAAATGTGCTTAGTTAGCAACTTTCAGAATTTTGACACAGAATTCTAGGAGTTGCAGTTCTTAACACTTTTCAATAATTCTGAATGTTGCAGAAGCAAGTTAGGAAAGTCTGGTTTATAATTTGTTGTTATATTTTATTATATGTATGGTTAATGCACAGCAATTCAGTCCTTTTTAGTTTCCTGAGATTTTTTTACATTGATGCATTTGTAAACATTTGTACAAGGTAACAGGTTATGTAAATCCTTTTAATCAAAATTTCCTATTGGCCTTTGCATTCCTTAGGAAAAAGGTCATACATTAAGAAGAATAATGTTAAACCTCGAAAAACAGGGCTTGGAAGCAATGGAAGGCATACTCTCTAGCTCCGAGATTCTTGATTCTTCAGAAATAGAAGACCTTTTTTATGACTGTGTAGATACAGAAATTAAATTCTTCAAATGAAGTGAGTCATATTCATGTTTTTCCCCACATTCATATTCCTATTTCAGCAAATGTTCTTTTAAAAGTAAAAGAGTTAACTTAGATGTTCACATTCTTCTCTATCTCCTGAATCTGTGTTTACTTCAAAGCAATTTTTGGCACATACTGTATAAGAATAAGAAGCCAACCTTCAATACATTGTGGTTATTTTGCTATATGTATATATTTCTGCTGCATTTTAGAATGGCATTTGTAATTTGTAAACTAAGGCTTTATTTTTTTTTTCATTTCAGTGCCCATAGACACTGTTAGCCTTTGCACAGGAACATAGAACTCTTCAAGCCTTGAAAGATAATCTCACCATATTGCCGAATTTGGGAGAAAGTATTCGTCTTTCTAGAGAAACTTTCCTCAGTAGCTATTTCCAGTTAACATCCTCTTTCATTATGTGTTGTCCTGTGCATATTGTTAAAAGAGATTTTGCTGACTGATTCAGTTAGTAGATGCATGCTGGCCAGTGTCATTTTGGAATTTTTGTTTTATTTTAGCAACAAAACTTTAGAAATAAATAATTTTAGGAAAGACCATAGAGGTCTCAATGTCGTTTTCAAATTAAGCAGAATCTTTTGAGAAATCCCCTTCAAAATATTGATCCACTTTCAAAGGAAAGATGGTTCACTTTATAACTTCTAAAATCTAAATGATATTTTTGAAAGGAAAATGTGAAAACATTAAAAAAGAAAATTTCATTATAAAGGGCATAACTTTCAGCAATGGAATGCCTTCTCACTGATGCTAATTTGAATGAGAATGAAATCAATTTACACAAACCTTAGAGAAATAGACCACCAAGTTCTCTATTTCACATTATTTTATATTTTGTTGTGCTGCATTTGAAACATTTTCCCCAAAGTTTGGGTTAGAATGTTCCCATTATTGGAAAGTTGTTGGGAAGGTGAGGTACTGTAGAATGCAAGGATATCATCTATCACAGTGATGGCGAGCCTTTTAGAAACCGAGTGCCCAAAAACTGCCCCGCCCCCACCCTGCCCTCACCCCGCCCACCCTCAGGGCCATCCACGGCCTGCCACAGATCGCCCAGATGGCCCTGCAGTGCCATGGTGGCCACACCCTCTGCCCGTCCCTGTAGCATCATGTGCTGCCCAGCTGCCATGTGCTTGGCTGTGCTGCTCCGTGTGGGCCGCACCCGGGGGTGACTCTCCTCCAGGGGGGCTGCTGGTGAGGAGTGGGCTGCGGGGACAGGCGGGGCTGGGGCGACAGTGTGCGTGCCCACAGAGAGGCTCCGAGTGCCGCCTCTGGCACTAGTGCCATAGGTTTGCCACCACTGATCTATCATCTTTGCTTTAGACAGCTAGTAAATTTGTTACTACTTTGCCAAATAGCAGCAGTCATTTATAGCTACTTAAATAGTAGGACAGGATCTAATCCAGTCAACAATGATTATCATTGTTATATAATTATGTATACTAAGATAGCCTCAAATGAGCAAGGTTAAATTTGCACACTTTGATTGACAGGGTTCAGTTAGTTAATGAGATCAACATATTTGTTTCATGAGAAAATTAGACAGATTCATAGACATAAGCATTTGCAGCAAATCAAGATTGAGTTAAAATGGCATGTGTGGTAATGGCATAACTAACTCCACCCTCATGTGCTTGCATCTCATTGTCTGACACTTACTTTTTGGGTTATGATGCATATTTCCCCCCATATCCCCAAATGGTCATGTTCACCAATACTATAAAATTAGAGTTGCTTTCTTAAAGTGATTGCAAGTGTTATTTTAATCCAGGTTTTTGTATCCTGAATCCATTATCCTTATTTAATTTGCTTATTGTCCATGCATCCATTATTAAATAATGGACATTCTTAAATAATCAAGTTTATCTTGGCCATCAGCAAGTCATTCTTCCTACCATTGACTCCTTAATGAAAACACGGATGTATGGAAGAAAGTGATGTGCAGGTAAAACCATCAGGCAATGACAGGCAATCAGATTCTAATCTCAAAACTGTGGTGCTAATCGTATAATTCAAAACATCAGAATTCTGATGTTATAGACATTTCAAACTATCAACTTCTAACTAAACTATTGTGCTCAGGTCACAAATGCTGTTTATATTGTTCTTAATGTGGGACACTCATAAAACAGATCTCAAGGATGACACAGATTCATGAAGTAAATAATAGTTTTAAAAATCATGCAGGAAACTAAGGAAAGTATTTTTCCACTGGCACAAGGAATTAATTTTCAAGGGCCAGACTTTTTTCTAGTTATTTCAATGCATCTTGTCATTATGGAACTCTACAGACTTTCCTGAGTCAAGCAATTTATCTTATATGGACAGCAAATAGTTATTATTTTAGGGCTTAAAAGTCCAATTTCAAAGAATAATGGCATCAAAAGACAGCTCAAATTTTGAGAAAAAGGGAAAATCCATAATATAAATACACTCTGATTTGTGGACATTTTTTGCAAAACTCCAAATGTTCCAGGTATTTTACAAAATTTGGCCAAGCTCTCTCCCTGAAGATGTATTGGAATGTAAAATACTTGATTGAAGCAAAATTAGTACATTTTTTAGTTATTTCTTGTAGGAGGTTGCAATCTGGAGTTTGATGTCACTTGGGATATATGTATTAAGACATTTACAATTGACCAAATTAATAAATTATTTCTGCACAAAGAATTTTTGGGAATTGAATACTTTAATATTATTTCCTGAAATGTATTAGAGATGGTTTTTTTTTCTTTTTTACAGTAAGGAATAAAATTGTGGAAAAAAAATGTAAAATTAGTTATTTTCTAGAAGTTACTGAGTCACGTTATATTATGTCATAGTCATAAGCTTATTTATTTCATCTCTCCTCCACTCATTTTAAAACTAATTTAGGATACAGTCTGATTTTTTAAAAATGTTTCAGTAATTCTCATATTTAAAGATCTTGGTGCAGAAAAAGATGGCTACTATATATGTCATTTCTAATTGAGCTATCATTGACTAGACACTACATGTCTGTATCTTGTTTTTAAATATAAGATCTGACTGAGCAAATAATATCTTTTCATTTTCCTTTTAGCAGACAAATTCTAATTTCTTGCCCTTCTTTATTCTGATAATAAATTCTAGAACTCAAGAATTTTGCAGCTTATTGCAAAAGCAAAATTAACAGTTGTTATCCAAGGGGGAGTTGCTTAACTCTAAGATTTTGTGAAGATAGTTTCTAGTTGCTCTCACATTAAGCATCCAAAGAGCCACTGCTGAAAATATACATACAAAACTAGCTGAAACAGCTACTGCAGTCCTATGGTTCTACCTATAAGAGTAAGGTAGACATGAAAATATATTTGCCAGATCGCCATTAGTTTGGTTCTTAAATGTTCCTTCTCACTCCTTTTCCAGTTGTAAGTATATACAGCATGTTATTTAGGGCCCAGCTATATAGTAGCTAGTTAAGAGTTCAGATGCTTCCTAAACAAGATATATTCCTTTACTTCATGTTCCAGTTTAAGGTTGTGTGTTCATACCTAATTCAGAGGAAAGATGCCTCTGTTGGATTCAGCAACAAAAGCAGAGTGAGAGAAAGGAAAAATCTTTCCACTCTGCTCTGTAGAGGCAACTAGTGGTGCAGGGATGTTTTGGCCTTGTATTCAAAAACAAGATGGCCTGAGATATAGGATCTTGCTTTTTATAGTTAAAATATTCACAAAAGATCTTGTATTTTAGATCTTTTTCTGTTTTTATGCACTATCAATTTTAATGCTTCTGATGGGTAGAGGCATCAAATAGGACCACACAGAGGGCGTCAACTTTGAAAATGACACCTTTGTTGGCGGCAACGGGACTCAGGCTGTTGGAGCGCAGGCTGGTGCTCCAGCCATCGAGGAGACTTCACTGGCAGGTTGATCCAACCTGGGAAACTGGTACCGCAGGAAGGAACTACAGCCTTAGTGGACCTTTTCCAAGCCTCAGAGTTCTGCTTTATTTGTCTCTGTCAGAACCATGATAGAGGGCTTATTAATACAACTAGTCCTCACTTAAAGTCTAGCCAACATTGAATGTTAGAATGGCGCTGAAAAAAACAGTCCTTGCACTTATGATCATGCATTGCCCCATGGTCATGTGACTGTGATTTGGGCAGTTGGCAATAGTGTCACATTTACAACTGTTGCAATAACTTGTGGTCATATCATTTACTACAATCCCAAGAAGCTTCTGACACCAAAGTCAATGGGGAAACCAGCAGAAAGTTCCAGGTCATAGTCACATGATATTTTGCTCAAGGATTGCAAGTGATTTGCTTAATGATGTGGCAAAAAAGGTTATAAAATTGATTACAGTCATATGATGCCTCACTTAACAACCTGACTGCTTAATGACATATTTTCCAATCCCTATTGTGGCTCCAAGTTGAGGACTATGTGTAACATTTTCTGTCTTTAGGCTGGTGGGCTTTAGAAGAAGCTAATGGAAAATGTTTGTTTGCATTCTTCATGCTCATTTGTGTCTGTATGTCATTCTTTTGGGTATCTATACATCTGTACTACTGAAAAAGGACACAAAAGAAAATACTTGCCAGGAATTTATATATTATATCATGTAAATGCAGTAAATCAAATTTGGAAATCATGAATTAATTACAACAGAAACTCCATGGGCAACCGAACTGTGTACAGTACAGGCAAACAATTTCACTTTACCAAAATATACCATATAAGAATGAAAAGCTATGTAAATTACAATATTCCATAGCATTTCAAAATAAAATTCAGGCCAGCTTTAAAGCAATTTAAATAAAAATACATTATTTTGCAACTTTTTATAACTGAACATGCACTCTCATCCTGGCCCATCTGCATCCAGCAGTCTTTTAAGTGCCATATCTGCCTGTACATATCACAACACTAACAAAAATATGCCCTACATTTTATACTGCAATTGTTGAACTCTTGATTTTTTGGAATAACCTTGAATCATTGATCTTCTCATCTCGCTTGTGTTCGTAAAGGGGGGTTGCTTGCTTTATCTGTAAAAAGAAAAAGATATTTTCCATGACACTATATTTATCAATTTCTTTCTTCAGTTATCAAGAGGTTTAAGCTATAAATCCAAGAGAACCATCAAGCCAATTTTATAAACCACTTATATCAGTTGAAAACCCTCATAATACCTTTGAATCCAGCAAGATACATGTGTAGACATATCTGTGTAGTTTGTACAAACGATTCTAAAATCACAGCAATTTAATATATTTAGAGAATTAAGAGATGCTTATTTGACATAGGACTTAAGACAGCAGTAATCTTAACGTACAACCATAACTGACCCCAAAATTTCCATTGCTAAGCAAGGCAGTTAAGTGAATTTGGCTCCATTTTACAACTGTTTTTGCCTCAGTTATTAAGCAAATCACCCTAATTGTTAAGTGAATGCGGTCATTAAGTAAATGCAGCTTCCCTCCTTGACTTTGTTTGTTGGAAGAGGGCTGGGAAGGTTACAAACAGCGATCATATGACCCTGGGACAGTGCAACTGTCATAAATACATGTCAATTGCTAAGAGCCCGAATTTTGATCACATGATAATGCGGATGCTGCAACAATCATGTGAAAAACAGTCATAAGTCATTTTTCCAGTGCCGTTGCAACTTCTAAATGAAGTTACTAAATTAATGGTTGTATGTCAATCAATGGTTGTATGTTTTTTACCCAACCAAAATTAGCAACCTGCACAAAGGATATGGCTTACTCAGAACATCTAACCTACAGTAGTAGTTGAAAGGCAACAGTGCACCATGGACTCCACTGTGCTTACACTGATAATCCCTCAAAGTCCACAAGTTTTTTTACCTCCTCTGGTCATTTCTTAAAATATTTATTTCTAGAAAACTATTTTAAAAATGCTTATACTATTTTAAGAAGTGAAAAAAATAAATCAAAAGCTACCAGCTTCTAGCACCATTACATGCAGTAATGCCTTTGGATCATGGCAGAGTCTTGCTGAGATTAGTTGGGTACACAAAGGTTCATTTACATTGTTCAACGTTTTCACCTTTAAATGAATATGTTAGTAAAACAATTATAGTATTAATTAGAACAATTACATATATGTATGTATGTTTCCTTCTCGGTCAGGTTGATTGCTAATGATTGCTTGGAAAATCCCCTCAAGTTTTTTTGGCAAGATTTTTCAGAAGTAGTTTGCTATTGCCTCGTTCCTAGGGTTAAGAGAAAATGACTGGCCCAAGGTCACCCAGCTAGCTTTTACTTAATTAAATATCACAATCTTCTGGTTTCTAACCTAGTAACCAGTACATCAAACTGGCTGAGTAATTATGTACATATACATATGTAAAATATAATAAAATGACATGTATGTATATAACTGTTCTAATAATAATTCACCTCCTGGTAATGATTATTTGTGACTGGCTGTGTCTGCTATAAAAATCATAATCTGAGTGCATCTATCACATGTCCTCAAATTTCTATCCCTTGGTCACTCTATGCCATATACTGAAACCAGTTTTGAATCCAAGGTAAAGAAATCAATCTAAGATAATGTCTCTCAGCCTGAGCAACTTTAAGATATATGGACTTCAACTCCCAGAATTCCCCAGCCAACTGATGTCTCATGTGGATGAGACAATGAAACATAAATAGTGCTGGGCAAGGCTTATAGATAATAGGCATGGAGACTATCATTCTTAGAGATGTGCTGTATTCGAAGGCAATTAAATTGTCAAAAACAACAAAAACAAATTTCAGTGGCTTGGAGATTGTTCTGAAGATGGGAGAGAATAAGGAGGTCCATAGTATAATCTTAATGATTTATACAAAAGCTATGACACAGGGACACATGGACTATATATAAAACACAAATTATGGGTACCAATGGGGGTTCCTGTGATGTTTTTGAAAATGGGGCTATTTAATCAGTAGACATTTCTCTACAGTGGCAACACTATTCCATGCATTACACGGAGAACGCCTAGAATCTCTCATAACTAGACAACCAAGATAAATAATACCCCCTATTAGGAAATCATTTCATATCACACTGAGAAATGTTGACTTACTCCTCGCTTCTTGGCTAGGATAAATTTTCTTACAAGGCTTGAACTCCTCTGGAGGAGGAAAGTCTTCCACGGAATGGAAAGTAAATTTAGATTCAAAGTCATCTAGAAAGAGTTTAATTTTTAAAAAAATCATGTTGAATTATAATAAGCAAAATAACAAATATGTACTACATATATATCCATCATGGAATGTTATGCAGAAGCACAATAAAATAATCCATCCAGCATATTCTCAATTCAGACGCATCATTTCATCATATTTTTTAATTCCATATACTTTGCTTAAAGCTCCTTGTTTAGCCCCATCTATTTCCACCAATTCTGAAGATATTAGAATTGCAGTACTCTGTCACAATCCTCTCTTTTGTATCTTACTGTTTCATTTTGAAAGTTTAAATCCTATGACAGATCAGTCTAGTAAAATATTCAAGTAGTTTTCTTAGCAAAAATACTGAAATAGTTTGCCAGTGTTTTCTTATAAATAATTATAATAATTGATCCTGGACTTTTTCCCTATTTTGCTAATTATTAATGTCTCTGCCTTTAATATTACTGTACAAATGTCCATTTGTCTCCCAAAAAATTCAAATTGACATACTCAAATGCATCTGTTCCTCACTTAGCAACTATTTCAGCTCCTGACCATTCACAAATATAATAGTAATTAAAAATTTCATTTTCTGACCAAAGTTTGCCTTTACAACTAAAGGTTGTGTGCCTGACAATGCATGTCAGAGTAAGAATAATGCTGGTGTAGCTCTACAAAAAACTTGACTGAATCAGGCAGTAGCAACCAATGATCTTTGTAGCATCTTTCTCTGTCTCACTATGTGTTCATTTAGTGACCATTTTGCTTAACAACTTGGTAGTTGGAACAACTTAGTCACTAAACAAGGGATGAGTGTATACTGACTTTCTTTAACAGTTTGCATTGCCATTCCTAAGCAGGCACTAATTTTAAAAAGATTATTAAGACTGTAAACTTGTGATAAGAAAAGTTCTACATTTTCTGTATATACAATATTTGTCAACAATAAATGATATAGTGTTATCCATAATACCTGAGTCCTGAGTAGCCGGCGGCCATGGAGATACTTGGGTGTGTTGATATTTGCTTGTGAGCTCAGTTGTGGGAGACCTTGCAGGAGGAACAGGTGGTGGCATCAACTTTGCTAAGAATAAACATACAAAAAAAGAAAACAGCGCATCAAATATTTTCATTCCATTCTTGTTCCAAAAGGTTCAAACAAAACATATATACGTGTAACCTATACATCCTCAGAATATGAGAGGGGGTGGGGAGAGAGAGAGATTATAGTTACATTCTAAAGCAATTTCTGGGTTGCACAATGTACAACCAGCTTCAGCTCCTAAGTGTATATAGAAAGGACATCCATACCCAATGCAAGTTAATTCCACAGGATGTAATCCAGTAGGGATGCCACTGAAAGTAGTTACCTCCACCTCTTCCTTGTCTCCTTTTCTGCATTGCAGGAGCTTGCTGTGTGCTTGGGAGGGTAGGGGGAAGAGGCATTGATGGAATGGGGAGCTTTTGCAACTTGCTCTTGGGAGGCAACAGGGAAGCAGAATCACTGTTACAGGTTGGTGATGTTGGTGAAAACATTGATGTTCTCGGTGAAGAAAAAGTAGACATAGAAGGTCCTGGGAGAGGAGGTAGGGGTGGTGGCATGGGGGGAGAATTGTGTCTTAGATCGAGCTGGGAGGAGCTTGGGCTGGAACATTCATTAATTTTGCCTGAAGGCCCAGAGGGGGATGATGGAGACAAAGGTAATGGTGGAGGAGGTGGTATGTTCATTGGGGATAGGTGACCTTTAGGAGTTCTATTCTGAGAGGATGCAGCAGCAGCAGCAATGTCTGGGGAAGGGAACTTGTTAGGATGTTCAGAAAAAGGAGGTGGTAGAGGGGGAGGAGGAGGAAAGATAAGTGATGGTTTTCTGGAGGGAGATGGTAATGGTGGTGGTGGTGGTGGAGGAGGAGGAGGAGGAGGAGGAGGAGATGGAACTGAAGTAGGAGCAGGAGGAGCAGGGATGCTGGGGTGAGCTGGAATAGCGCTCTGGATCTTGGATGCTTCTGATTCATCTGCTTGCTTAGGGCCACTTGGGGAGATTTGAAAGTTGCCACTGGACTTCCCATTATTGTTGAGTGGGACTGGGACCTTCGGGGGAGATGTTTTGGCAGTAGGTGACTTTCCAGTCCTATTCACTGAGAAAATGAAGCAAATGCAAACAAAACATCTTTAATTTTGAAAACTGCATTCAACAATTCATCCTTTGAATTATCTAAATTATTCTAATTGTAACTAAATCCAAATAATTCATCCAGATTATTGGATTAAAATGAAGAAAACATGAAGACTTTTTCTAACACAAGTTCTTAAATTGGTTATCCTGCTATCAATTAGCAGTTCCAATCCTGCCAATTTGTTTTCAGAGATTACAGATCCAGCAATTCTATTATACCAGGAAACAGAATTGAAGGACCTAAATTTTGCTTGATTTTGTTGCCAGCTGAAAAACAAACTAAAATAGTTCCATAGAAAGGACGGATTGTTCCTGCACATCTCAGTTACACTATACAGAGGTGAGATGAATGTTTCCAGGCAACAGTTACACTCTGGTGGATTCAGGAACAGCTGTCTTTCCACACAGCACTGTAGCTTATTAACCTATTATGCCTGAAATCTGTTTTTCTCATACACCTTTCTTACTTGTTTAACCTTGATTTCTCTATCTGACTGACAAACAATGTTCATAAGACCAAGATAAGGTCCTGGTCACTGTTATTATTTTAAGTTGCATTACGGTTGGCTGTCGTAGAAAACCATCCAGGAATAACAGCTACTATGAATCATAGCAGCATGATTATTAACTGGCTTGATTATACTGACTAGATTTTGAAACAATTGCATTGTTCAAAGGCCTTGAGGTTTTGTAAGTTAATTTATTGTACAAGGCAGAAATGATGTCAAAAACACTAATATAATGAAATAAGAGAAAATATATTGCAAATAATGTGCAGAATATGCATGTTTGTGGTTAATGCAAACATGAATACAATAACCAATTTGTGCTCAGATAATGAATAGCAAAGTGATTTTCTATTTTATGCAAATGATCCAAATGAAGTTTCTATAAGTATAGGTAACATACTAAAAGAGATCAACTCTTATTTGCGCTCCAAATCTTCAGTTCTGTTTTGAATATTAATTTTATATGCAAAAGTACAAATTAGCATGTGCTAATTTGTAATACTCTGATTTTTTTTTGTTGAGACTCCATTGCAAACTGGATTCTTTTACCTGCTAAGTCTCTTTGGCCCACTGGTCTCAGAACAGGGAAGCCTTCTGCAAAAAGGTTCCCTAATGCCTGAGGTATTTCACTGCTACAGTTTCCAGAGTTTCCTCCATCTTTGCTGGGCCTTCTTCTGTCAACTGCAAAGAAGGAGAAGAAGAAGGGTATTATTTTCAGCTTTTGGTTTTTCTGCTATCTTTCTTTTGGCATAAAACGAGCAGAAGCTAATCGCTATGTATATACAATACAGTGTGGTTAAGCAAATTAACTATAACTGGCAGGATTCGGCCAATAAGCAAGATTAGAACACTAAGCCAAAAATATTACTACATGCTTTTAATACATAATTAAATGCTAAATATATAGCTGAACAAACTATATTATGGCTTAGTTATGATGTGAAATCTCTGTGACATAATAAAGAGCAGGACTTCTGCTTCATATATTAAGACAAAAATATATTGTTCTTTAAAACAGGAACTCAGGTATTACCACTGACTTTATATAACCTCAACCAATACATTACATGCTGGGACTAAAATGTTTCCCTTTTTTGTTTCTTTCTTACAATGCTTTATCTTGTTAATTTTAAAGATTTTACCTTGGGCATTCCTTGCTATCATTTTCTTTACTTATTTTGGCTGGAAGGAATTCAATTAAATGGGAAACATTTTTTGTTTTTGTTTTACATAGGAAACTGTCAGTCTATTTCCCTTGTGAAAGCTACAAGTGAATAACTAACAAGTGTTCAGAATAGTTGAAAAAAGAAAGGCTTGAAAAAATGTGTCACTTGTACAGGAAAAGTGCAAGAATTAGTCATAAATGGGACGAGAAGGAATTAAGAATGGATTTAAGAGTGAATCCAAAATACAGTATGAATCCAAAATACAGTATATGGGGTAAATTGGAAGACATGAAAATTACTCTTCTAATTAATATGAAGTTCAGAATATTGAAGAAAAATGTTAGCTTGATAAGATTTATTAGCAGTCTTCAAATAATCGGGCCAATATAAGAAATTTTCATCAGAAAAATGAAAGTGAGTCATTGAAACAGTTTTGCAATCAAGGAAAAAACAAAGGTCTCTGCCAAGCAAGAAAAGGCTTTTAATATAAAAATGATTGAGCGGCCATTGGAGCATGTCCATAAACAGAAGACTTACTGTCAATCTGCGGAGCACTGCGATCGTCGATCTGGGATACTCTTCTCAGTCGAGTTCCTCTTTGGATCTCATGTAACAAAGCATTTCGACTTTTGGATTCCTCCCTTTTCACTTTGGGTGGCTCTGTGTTTGTCTGTCAAAATAACAGGTCAAAATCCTAGACATCAGGAGGACAATTCTCAAGCTACTGAAATCAATGGAATATATATCCACAAAACATGATTAGGATCAGGCAAAGGGATATCTTGCATTTGTTTTCTTTCTCCCACACTAGGGAATTCTATCCAGGTATAATCAAACTTCCATTTTACAGATCTCTCTTCAGCTACCTTCAAATAAAGTAATTGTCCCATTTAGTCATTTTTTTATTTCTAATCACTGGGCAAGGCAGCTTTTTTTGAAAGGGACTTGCCATTGCCTTGTTTCTAGGACTCCGAGAAGAGACTGGCCGAAAGTCACCCAGCTGATTTCATGTTGATGTGGGACTACAATTCATGGTCTTCTGGTTTCTAGTTGGATGCTTTAATCACTACACAAAAATGGTACAATTAAACTTTGAGTTGGACTTCACCCCCAAATAATAAAGTTTGTTGTTTCCAAAGCAATCAGGATAATTGGTGGAATTGATATCATAGTATAACGTAAGTCAATTTGCATTTTATGAACAGTCTTCAGCTCTTTCGATTATGAACATTAGAAACAAGGAAGAAGGAATCAATGCATTCAATGGTAGTGCAAATGTGTTGGGATTGCAGCTTCTAGAACTGCTGTAGCTACAATCTGCACAGCACCAAGTCGAGAAAGATTGGTTTGTATTTTAAATTTTTTGATGAAACGTAAAAGTATGCCTGACAGACAGGTAAAGCAGAACAGGAAGGTCTTACAACATATGGGAAGCCCACCCACTCACTCATCCACCCACCACAACTCATCAATTGACAGACTGAAGTAAGTGACTAATAACTAAGTATATCGGAAGTGAATCTCCTGCATTATCAAGTACCTTTGCCAGCCCAACAGACACAAGTTCAATGGGCTTATTTTTATAGTTCAAAAAGCAACAAACAGTCAGCAACTATGCCCAATTCCTTTTACCCAGATGAAAATAAAATAAAATGGCAGCAGAGGAAAGTGGAAGCTCACAGGGGATGGGATGTCCCTGCAGAAACCTGAAATAGTCAACCTTAAAGGTAGTCTGGCTATACTGAGTCAGCAAAACATGTCAGGTTGTACCTGATTTGAAAACTAAGAAGAAAATGCTACTCTAAAACTAGAATGACCAAAGATGCAGGCTAAGAACAAGACTGAGGCAAATCCTGGAGACATGGCAGAATAAAGAGGTTGTCAGGCCATGTTCACATGGTAGTTAGGTACAAGTGAGGAAAGGATTACATCTTGGGACTGACTTTGCTGCAGACCTCATGGCTTATTATCATGTCACAACTCTGCCTTTCTTGCTTCCCCATCTGATTTTTGTACTATGTTGTTCACTGATGGGATCCCAAAACTTTGTACATTTCTGTAAACTTCTCTATTAATGGCATTGCCCTAATATAGGATTTGTATTTTTTTCCTTAGGGCTAAAATAACTGCATTTTTATTTTGAAGGATATGCATGACTCACTGAGATCCTCTTTCAATAAAGCAGCATTTCAAAGGAGACAAAGAACTAAACAAAAAAAAAGAAAACAAAATGGCAAATAACAGATACTTCCAAAAGACGGAGGCTGCAATAAAATGATAGGCACAGACCATTCTGAACATGCTGACTACTAAACCAAAGATTTCAATCAATTATATTTTAGTCCTAGTCCTAAAAGGTTCAGTTCTGAAATAAGCAAAAAAGTGTTCCCGTGAACATATGAAAAGCTGTTATCTCCCGTGGTTCAATAATTTACTTCTTGCACAATGGAAAGGAAGGAAATCTGCTAGAGGTTCATTTTTTTAACTCTTGTTTTAGAAATGAAGCCGCACCATACATTATTAGAATAGAGAATTACTGGTGAATGCTGTCCTAAATGCTCATGTAAGCATTCATTTTGGAATAGTTTTATATTAAACATTGAATTTCTTTTTGAATCATACATTACATTTGCCTTTAATTGTAATTATTTTTAATTGTCTGTTTATCAACATTGTCAACTAGCTTTTTCTAGGATTTTCATTTTGGCTGTTCTGTGACAAACCTGGCCTGCAATTATTCTGCCTAAAAACATAATTAATAAAAGCAGAAATCAGAAAAGTTGGAGAGCCATGTCTCAAGAAATAATTTGGTTTTCAACTTTTGCATGCTGTGATAAACACAAGAGAGGTGACATAAGCATATTTAAAGCGTAAATAATTGTAATAAGGCTACTGCCACAATCAATTCATTAATGTTAGAGAATAGTAGGATGAGCAACTCAGGGTCCACAGGCTGTAGCTAATTGCCAGGTTTCTTTTTCTGCAACTCACAAACTCACACACACAATACAATATGTGCAAAATTAAATCAAAATTCAGATTCAGTCACGTTACTATCATATCTGTACCATTTTCCTGGCCAACATAATCTCTGGATGCCATCCTATTTTTATATATTTCTGACCTTAAATTATAGTTAACTAAAACTCTGAAACATAATGAAAAGGTCACATATTGTTTTTGCACTTTCATGCACAAAACACACAGACCCTATTTAGCATATTATATACTATAAGTATTTTGAATGGTTAGCCACAAATTTTCCTTCTCTCTCCCACAAATACAGTGATAGCTCCTCTAGATGGCACATTCAGATGGGGTAATATTAGCACCAGCAAAAATTCCTGGGGGATGATGTAAAATCTTATTAATAGCTTCTATTCTTATGACTATATTTGTTGCCAAAAAGAGGGTCTGACAAATTAACCTACATAATTCACCTTCAAATTCTTTGATAAATTTCTCTCTCACACACATATATACACTATTTTCAAAAGCTGAATGTTCCAGATTCCAGTGCAGTTCTGGCACACATTACAGTGAAATGTGTACCCAATTATTTTTCTTTTGGAGAGCATCAAGCCAATACTTACTGTGAAGAACTGAAGAAACATAACTTGAAAAAGTCCTTATTTTTAAATAATCCCTTCAAATTCTGATCCCAGCAGCTTTCCTGGTAGTTTTGTTGTAACTCTACTATTAGACTAGGGCCAGTCCTGGGCAGATTCTTTGGTTTAAATTTAGAACCAACAGCTGTGGGGGTTTGTTTTTCATTCATATGTCCACAGGTTGAGTCATATGGATGTACTACACAGTAGTTATTTTTTCTCTTCATAGGAATACCATTTGTTGAAGTATGTCAAGGGGGAAAAATCTTTACATTTGATTTTTAAATTTGAATTACTCCCTCTCCCATCCAAATATATATACTGTATTTCTATTTACACTATTTCCCCTCCTGGCTCTTTCTTATAGCAGACAGTTCTGGTTGCCAATCATAGGATCATAAGGCTGAATGGGACCTTGGCGGTCTTCTAGTCCAACCCCCTGCCCAAAGCAGGAGTCCTCATGCTATCTTGGACAAATGGTTTTCCTATTTTTTCTTGAAAGCTTCCAGTGATGGAACACTCACAATTCTGGGAGTTAAGCCATTCCATTGCTTAATAGTTCTCACTGCCAGGAAATTCTTCTTTATTTCCTGGTTGGATCTCCTCCTGACATGCTTTCACACCCATTGTTAGTTCCAGGTAACAAGAGGGAAGGCCAACTCTTCAGGTAAATTAACTTATTCAGTATTCGGCCAAATCTGGTCAGCCATCTGTGTGCTTGAACCTTGTGTTAATCACCCAATTTGCTTTTCCCCAGCTTTGGTTTTATATATATGTATATCCTGCTAAATCATAATTGATTCATAGACTTTTACAACAATATACGACAGAACAAAACCATTACAATATCAACAGATTGGAATAAAGCAAAACTGTTGTAGATGATACACAAGATTATGATGTTAACTATTATGACCTAAAAAATATTGGGATATGGACACTTTAAAGATCACATTTTACTTATTCCAACATACTCCAAGCATAACAGTGACTTATCAAGTACCAATGTTTGTTTGCTTGACAATGGATAAAAATCTTGACTCCCTAAAATGCATTGTTGGCCTCCAGAAGTTGGGAATGCTCCAACACTGGAAGTTTTTAAGAAGAGATTGGACAACCATTTGTCTAAAATGGTATATGGTTTCCTGCCTGAGCAGAGGATTGGACTAGAACAGAGGTCCCCAACCTTTTGGGCACCAGGGACCTGTTATGTGGAGAGAGGTTTTTCCATAGACCAGAGAGTGCATGGTTTTGTGTGTTGCCTGCATCCCGCGGATGGGGCTTTGTTTGTGCGGCCCGGTTGCTGACATGCCACGGCCTAGTATCGGTCCACAGACCAGGGGCTGGGGACCCCTGGACTAGAAGACCACCAAGGTCCCTTCCAACTATGTTATTTTGTTATTCTGTTCTGTTATTCTTTGGGGTCTTTTTTAAGCCCCTGTGATTACTGCATATTGTTATTACTTATTAATCTCACTTTAATAGATTATATGAACAAGGAATTAGATGCTATTGTTTTAAAATATCATTGATAGAGTGCATTCTTCATTTTTAGCTTGCTCCTAGAAAGAGGTGGCATATAAAGAGTTCAAAATAAACAACTCTCCAAAAATCCCACTTTGATTTCCCTCCTAGAGTTCAAAAGCAACAAGAAAGTAAAGGTTACTTCTTTTATTAAATCCCACAGATGCATCTGCAAATAAGAATAAAATTAATTCCCATGACCTTGCTTTATGAAATAAGAACATGAACAGTTGGTGCTCATTTTCTTTGGCAGCCGTTAGGAGATATTCTATTATTTCTTATATAAGGAATGCTGCGTTAAATAACAAGTACAGTTTTTCTTTTAAAAAAAGGATCGAATGACTCATGCATTTAACAGGCTAGATTGTCAAGGAGAAAGGACACAGTAAATCTTTTTTCTTTATCCAATTCAAAGTCCTTCCAATAAGCCTTAAGTGGATAAATATAAAATCTCATTGAAATGGCAAATAAAGTATCCAATCCGGAGTCTAACCGATATTAGTTTGGCTTGATTTGGTTTGCATGTTTTTGTTGCCAATTCATGTATGTTCAGGTATGAGATGCGGCCAGATTCAATCCATATACTTCTCCAAAGTCCTGTTCTTAATATCTAGATTTACGAAGATCAAATAATTGCCACTACATTTATCCCTCTCCAAAAATTCCATATGGGACTGAATAATCGTCGGGCCTCACAAACTTCTGCATGGCTACAGAAGGCCACCTATTGATGTAGTGTCATCTCTGGGTGTAACAGAGATAATTTTATTTGGTCCTAGTTTATAATTTATATTAATGAAGAAAATTTCTTTAAATTTTTAAAAGACTACATTGTGTAAATATATGGAAAGAAATATGATACCATGAAAATGTGTATAAAAAACAAAGTATCATGAGGAAATTATGCTTATACTATATTTTGAAGGAATATCAGAGGATTATAATAGCTGATCAACTTGAGGCTTTGTAGATGCAGCCTCGTGAACTAATTCACTTTAGTTTTTTAAAGGTCATATATTGTACTGAATTGTGTAAGCACATCAACTATGTCAATAGTTGAACTTATGTCTGTTCATCACTTATGCAGTTCCCACTTATGCGTTTTTGCCTACTGTCTAATTTGACCTGACAAAATGTTAAAGTTAACTCTAGACATCTCTGAAAATCAAAGAACAATATATGATTATACCGAACAATCCATTTCCAAAGGGGTATTTTTTTAATCACACATATGTATGCACACACACACACACTTTTTCTCACTGGATTCTTCACCTGAATTTTTATGATCTGCACAATTATTCAGAAATTCAACTGTAGATTTGGCTGCATATCGCTTTTCACATTTTTATTTTTGAAAGATAATAAAACATGAAAGAGAAAAATATTATTCTTTGTGAATACATTTGATGAAGTCCACAGATAAGTGAGTAAGATATGGAAACACGCCTTTCATTGTCACAGATTAATATTGTGTAAACATTAATCTGAATAGTTTTTTAGTTGATTAACATACTGGGTTAGTCCTTTAATTCAGTCCTGTTAAGTTCTGAATGTGCAGAAAATCCTATCTAGAAAACTCTTATATTAATATGTATTGTAAAGAACTTGGGAGATTTCCAAGTGGCTCCCCAGAAGTTAAGTTTGATGATCTCCAAGGGTGAGCACTACTTATACATTTTCCACTAGCAGGCTAAGCTTCATATCTTTGGACCATGGAAAGTTTAAAATTAGGCAGCCACAGAAGTGAACCAATTGGTCTAAGAACTGGGAAAAATTTTGACCAGATCAGATGACTCAAACATTCATTCAGTCTTTGGCCCAGAGGCAATTTCCATATCTTGACCTCCTTTCTAAAAGCTTTTTTAAAAAATGTTTAAGTACATTTAAAGCCCAGCTACAGTCCAAATAGAGGATGATTTAAAATCCAAGACAGTTTTCTGCACATGGCTTTATAATGCTAACTTGAATCCTTGTTTGGCTCTTATTGGCTCTCTTTCCTTTGATTTCTGCCTTAATACTTCAAGTTCTGTCTAATGGAGACCAGATTTCTGCCTTCTGGCCTGGCAAGCATCACCCTGATTGCTTAATCTCAAAACTCAATTGATATGTATCCATTAATTGACCTGAAATCAATGTGCAATAAAACAGAATGAGCTTGATTGCATGTCTTTTATTCCTGATTTGCATCTTTCTTCATAAAAGAAAATAAATGAGAGTTGATGATATTCTGTCAAAGCCTTAATTAGTACAACACTGTATTAATATTCCCACCTAGTATTTTAGTTGCTACAACTATCTGCTTTCCAGATCTCTTTAAGATGATCAGTTTTCACTGCAATAGTTATCAGAATAAATAACAGAATACCTATTCGAAAAGAACAATGGCTTATGATATTTTTCCAGACACTTTACAATAAAATTAGAATATCTTAAATCCAAGGGAAAAAAAATGAGATAAAGTAGTTTTAAAGCTAAACTATTTCTAAAGCTAGCTAATCTAATAGATTTACAAAAATATTTCTATAATTTGTGAAAAGTGAAAAATAAAACAAAAAAGCCCTTTTATTCTCATATTAGAAAGACCAGTTTGTATGCATCAACCATAAATATATGGAGGTTTTCTTAAGTGATACAGTTTGGAATATCACACAGTACTCTTTGTAATTAGAAAAGGAATGAGCTGAAAGTATACTGGATTAATAATATACCTGATTAACATAACACAATCAAGATTAGAAGGTGAACTATCAACTATATTAGAATGCAGCAATTATAATACATAAACTGTGTTAGCAAAATATTATAAACACCAAATCTAAGCAATTAAGATAAACTAAACATAATGGAAAATGAAAATAATTGCATGGCACTTTAAATAAAAATAGAAAATAGAAACATTTACTTAACAAATATATGTATGTATTTTCAAGAATAAACTGTTTCTCCTATTTTTCTTTTAAAATACATTTAAAATGCAGTAATTAACAAAACTCCAGCATTTTAGATTTTACACAGCTTTAAAGTGCATGTTTAAATGTACAGTAGTATTACTATTAAAATTTTTCAGAAATAAAGTTCAACTCCAAAGAAGTTTTTTCAAGTTTGGATCTTCCTTAGAACCTCAGATTTCACAATGACCTTCCATCTAAATACCAAACAGATCTGACACTAACAGGCCTTTTTTCAATATCAGCTAAACCTAGTTAGGTGCTGCCACCTACAGAAGGCAGATATGACTAGCACTCTTTAAAGTTTAATCAAACCAGGAGGAAAAAAAAACTTACCAGAGGAAATGAAGGTAGTGGTGGTGGAGGAGGATGATCTCCAGATGATGATGAAAAAAAAGTAGGGGAAGTTAGCGATGGAGGAACTCCAGAAGAAGATGGAGGAGGAGGTGGTGGTGGTGGAGGAGGAGGAGGGGGTGGAGGTGGTGGTCCTCCAGAGGTAAAGGGAGGGAGAGGTGGAGGTGGTGGTGGCGGCACAGGCATCTGGTTGTCCACAATCACGATCGAATGCACTATGAGGAAAATCAGTATACGTAACTATATGCCCAGGACCATCTTTCACTTAGTATACAGTATAAGGTGGGGGTTGTTTTGTTTTGCTTTTTACAAACCTTAGATCTCTAAATGGTAAGCAGATAAGTTATCCTTTATTTCATTCCACATACAAATCACATGCACAAAAGAAATCTCAGTAAGTTCCTAAGTAAAATATGCATTTAACAATCATAGCTGTTCACACTGATTAACTCAAGAAGTCTTTGAGAGAAGATCTTATGATTATACCCTATTCTGCATTCTAAACATGTAATTGAGTGGAAATGAAAGACTAATACTTACTCTATTAAATAACTTGTTTGGGAATTCTAGGAATTGTAATCTCAGAGGCCATCAGAGGCCATCAGATAGAGAACATTGGCCAAGTACTATATGTTCATGTATAGCAGAACAGCAATGATGCATTAGTATTACACTGATTGACCAATCCTTTATCAACATTACAGTTGTTCTATAGGGTGAATTTGCTGATCTTCAATTCCAACTTTGCTGGCCAGAACATGTTCATATCCAACATATATTTGTTAATCTATTTTTTTA